CAGAGGCATAATAATCAAAAGCTTGTGGTCAGTTAGTTACCTATGATCACATCAAGACTGCCTCCTCCTATAAAGCTACCTTCAAATAGAATATTAATAGCATATAGACTGTATACAGAGTATGAATATATTAAGAGATTTTTGCATATCTAATTTTGGAATCTTTCTCATTGTCCAACTAATATTCAAAGAAAATAAAAATTAAGGCTATATTCCTAAGGATTAATTTCTCCTTGGCATTTTGATTATAAACAGCTCTTAACTAAGCGCTAAAGCTTTTTTCCTCCTATTATCAGCTATGGATCATAATACCTAAATTTAAGAATTTCCAGGTAATAATGCACAGTGTGAAAAGTTCATTAGTGTAGCCTTCTGATTATTTTCATCAATATTGTCCAACTGGGAATACCTTGTAGTATGTCTCCAAATATAGTATTTTCTGTCTCCAAACCACATGCTGTTTCTACTTTACCTCATTGGACCTATTTTATATGTGTGTGTGCACATACATAAAATTGTGACTTCAGGTGTTCCTTTGCAATGTGTAAAACTCAACAAGATTTTCTGTATATGTAGTATAAAGATGAACTTTAGCCTACTTTATATATGAAGTATTATAATTCTGTTAATATAACCTGAATTCATATGGCAAATACACTTTTAAGGAAATTTTTTTCAAATCATACCTCATTTACTGAAGTTAGTCCCATAATATTTAGTCATGTGAGCATTTCAGCTAGACTTTTTCACATGGGTTGACAGGAACCTACTACACCCTTACAGTGACTCACACCACCCGTCGGCTCTCCTCTTCCTCTCCAACTGTATTGTCTACTCTCTCATCTTTGCCCTATGTTCTTGTCTGTAGTCCTCATCATACAAACCTGAAAGGCTGGCTGAACTCCTGTGGTTGATCCTGGTGCTGTTATCCTCACCTGCAGCACCAGTGGCATTCATAGTTTTTCTTTCCTGTGCCTACATCTTTGAAAAGAAAGGAAGGGGTAAAGACTGAGCATATTGAGACCACAGCTTTGGCCTTTCCAGTCACAGAGAAGAAAAATCATAGGATCATTGATTTAGAAGTGACTTTACAGTTTACCAGGAATGTCAATCCTCTCTCTTAAAAACTTGGTGATAGACTTTGTTTTTCTATCAGTTTAATAGAAATGAGCACATGCCACTTTTGGATACCTGTGATTATTCTTTATTAAACTGAACCAAAGTCACTTGAAACAGGTTCTACTGTTGACACTATACCTGTAGTCAATAAATGGAATCTCTTTCCCAGCCACATATGCTTCTGTCTCAAGGGCTTTGCATGAGCTATTCCCTCTACCTGGAATGCTTTCCCCTTCAAATATCTACATGATATATTCCCTTGTCTCCTTCAAGATTTTGCCCAAATATCATTTCCTCAATGAAGCCTTCATATTCTATTCAGCATTAATCCTACTTTCCCACCCCTGCAGTTCCTTATCCTAACTCTTTTTCTTTTCTCCATAGCATTTATCATCTCCATACTAGGTAAATTACTAGTTTATTTACCATTGTATCTCTTACCTTGCTAGATTAAGCAGCTCTATGAGACAAGGGATCTTTGTCAGTTTTTATTATTAACGAATCCAGAATATCTACATAGTACTAGGCACATGGCAAATACTCACTTGATATTGAATGAGTAAATGTATTATTTGGGAAATTATCTACAACACATTATTAGATGAAAAAAAGAAGTATGGAATGACTCAATTTGTGTGACTTTTTAAAGTAATATGTACATCATTTGTGTCTACATATAGCTGTATGCAGAAATACTCCTACCTATACAAACTGTCTACATGGTCACATCTACAGAGCATGTGGGGCAGGAAAGAAATGGGAGGAAGGGGGTTAACTTTTGTTTCCTAAATATATACTAATATAAAATGTTTCTTTCGGTGTTGCCTGAAGAGAGTAGTACAGTAGTGGGAGAAAAGGTGTAGCATTCTCATTGCTACTTATGTAAATGGGAAACCATCAGAAACTTAAAAGGGAAATTTCTGTTTTGAACAACGTGTTATAAATTCAGCATTTTCTCTTTCTCTTATTGGAAGTCACCCAAAGGCTACAAGAAAAATGATTAAACAGAAGAGCATACTCTAGCTTTAATAAAAATAGAAGAGAATTCAGACCTACAAAATAAGTAGAAGATTTTCCAAAAACAGTGGTGATGAAGCAGGGATGCATGCAGGAAGAGGTGCCACAATCAGAGCTGTTCTTGCTGGTTCTGAGATCTACAGCTGTGAAGTCCTCCCTAAGTCCCTTCCCCAAACACAAGAAAGCAGGAGGGCATCATGATCTGACAAGATTTAATTCAAGGGTAAACATATTAAATGAAATGAAGACGGCGACTTTAACAATAGAGTGCAAAGGTGAAAATCACACTACACCAAATAACAGCATCAACATATTTATAAAGGAAAACTAGAGATAATCCAAGGAGAAACAGACAAGCACATTAGTAGTCCATGACAGATGGAGCAGACAGAAATAATTAAGAACATACAGTCTGGACATGGTCACTCATGTCTGTAATGCTAGCACTTTCAGAGGCCAAGGCGAGAGGATCACCTGCAGCCTGGAGATGGAGACCAGCCTAAGCAACACAGCGAGACCCTGTCTCTACTAAAAAATAGAAAATATTAGCTAGCCATGGTGGTATGTGCCTATAGTCCCAACTACTCAGGAGGCTGGGGCAAAAGGGTAATTGCTTGAGCCCAAGAGTTTGAGGTTGCTGTGAGCTATGATGACACCACTGCACTCTAGCTTGGGCAACATAGTGAGGCCCTGTCTTTAAATAAATAAATAATAATTAAATAGATAATGTACAAGGCCTAAATAGAATAAGGTAGATCTAACTGCTTTATACTAAATTCTGTACCCTAAAAACAAACAATACCTCATCAACAGTATTCTTTGATCTTAATGCAATAAAAGTAGAAATTATAAAATCAGAAACAAAAAGCTTCCACTACTTGAAAATTTTTAAAAATTATCTTAATTCCTGAATCAAAGAAGGAAATCAAGATTTCAGAATATTTAGAAAATAGCCATGAAAATACTGTGCATATCAGAGCCTTCAGACTATCGTTTAGAGAAAGCTTTATAATCTCAAATATTAAGCCATAGAGAATGAAAATAAATGAATTAAGAATCCAACTGAAGAAGTTAAAGAATGAGGCCAGGAGTTCAAGACCAGTCTGAACAATATGGCAAGACCCCAACTCTGCAAATGAAAATAAAACTAGCTGGGTGTGATGGTGTGCACCTATTGCTTGATCCTTTAAGGTTACAGTGGGCTATGATTGGGCCAGCCACTGCACCCCAGCATGGGCAACAGAGGAAGACCTGTCTCAAAAACAAACAAACAAAAACAATCAGAAGTTGTTAAAGGAATGAACAATAAAATAAACTCAAGGAAAGCAGAAGAGATTAACAAAGATAAAAATGGAAATTAATAAACACAGAAAAGAATATAATAAATCCAAAAGCTGATTCTCTGTGTGGGGGAAAGGGGAGGTGTGTAAAAATAAATAGCGAATCTAGAAAATACAAAAATTTCTTCAGTACGTGACCACAAACAGAAGAAACAAAAGACTCTTAAGATACTTACTTTGCTCAATTCTTCCAGATAAATTTGGAAACTTGGAGAAAATGGGTAGTTCTCTATGAAAGTATAATTTACTAAAACATACTCTAGAGGAAATAGAAAATTTAATCAAATAGAGAAAGTTTCAAAGGGAGAAGAATAATATCATCATATACTTCTATTTTTGTGTGTCCACATGTGTTTTTAAAGGCAGGGCACGGGAAAGAACTTAAGAGCTAGACAGCTATAGCATAGGAGACAGGCTTCTAAAGCTGTGTTGATAAAAGTTTTGACATTCTAAATCTTCCATTGCTTATTGCAATTGTCATAACCCACCACTACAGAGTATTTCACTTCCATTTATTTACTACAAAATTATGTCACTTTTTACTTTGCTACTTGGAACATAATGTCACTAAATTGTATTAAATTGATTAGCAAACAAGTTTTTTGGCATTTGCTATTCTTTCATTTTTCTAAACATGCTTGAAAACACCTACCATGATGCAAATATTGAGCTAAAATAACAAGTTGGGGCCCATCTGTATTTCTGTTAATAAGGAATAAAAATAAAGAATAATCACTTCGATCAATAGAGCATATTTAAGATTGAATTGGGAGAATGAAGCCAGATTATTGAAGATCCTAAAATCTAGCCCACAGAATTTATATTTATGTCCAGAAATAAAGAGCCATTCAAGGTTTTTGAGCAAGGCTGACTTGACAAGTTTGTTTTTAAGGAAGGTTTTTCTGCAAAGTAGAACATAAGATAGATTGCTTTTTTATAAGCAGAAACAGTACGGCATTTGTCTTCACGTAGCTCCAACCCATAACCTCGTTGTGTTCAAAAAACATGGGATTATGGAAGTAGAGAGATGCTGAGCCTAAAAGAGGGAAGAGGTATCATATAATGAGAATCAAGAAATAGATAAATAACGACTTTAGAAACAAAACCATCTCTTGAGCAAAGACCTTCACAAATACAGCCCCTAAGGAACCGAAGCTCTGTGTAATTGACTAAAAATTAATTGGTAATCGGTGCTTTTCAAGGACAGCACAAAATTAGAGGAGTGTCAGACTTAAAATATAAGAAGGAAGGAAAAGCAGCAGGAATGGACAAGGGCAATTGTATAATAAATTAGGAAGACATTGTCTCTCCTCGGTGCATCCGCTCTCCAGTACACAACTTAGAAAATCAGAATCTAAGATCCTTTTTATTGATTGTAATTTTTATTTTGTTTGCTTTTATTGTTTATTTTTCTAAGCTGTTTCTTCTCTTTATGTCATGTATTTCATGTAGTTGTAGCACATTGTTAGATTATTTGCATAATAAAAGTATTTCTCTACTTACGTTGGTCATATAAATATCTTGCAACCTCTGTTCAGAATTTGCATCATCCTGGGATTGTAAATCTGGAATGTATGTTTGAGACCCCAGAACGAGTATTTGTAGTAATGGAAAAGCTGCATGGAGATATGTTGGAAATGATTTTATCCAGTGAGAAAAGTCGGCTTCCAGAACGAATTACTAAATTCATGGTCACACAGGTACCTTCTTTTGAAAACTATAGAATAATTAAAAACTAAGAAAACTAAATAGCAGTGCTTTTATGTATTGGGAGACTATGGAATTGTTAACTTTAAAGAACAAAATAACATGCTTTTAGCTAAATATTGATGAACTGTAGTGGAATTTTGAAGTTGTTATACCATTCAAGGAGACACATTGAGGTTTAACTGATTTTTCCAGGCATTGAAAAAATCTTTTTTCATAACAGATACTTGTTGCTTTGAGGAATCTGCATTTTAAGAATATTGTGCACTGTGATTTAAAGCCAGAAAATGTGCTGCTTGCATCAGCAGAGCCATTTCCTCAGGTGAGATATTCTCTAGAACCTTTTAAAGAATCATTTTAAATGATTCTGACAACATTTTTGAAGTACCCCAATAATAGAAGGCAGTGTACCAAGTGCTATAGGTTGAAAATGCATACCATCTTACAGAAATAAAGTTTTTAGCCTGTAACTACCAGTGAGGATTAATAACTAAATAATTGAAATTCAGGCTGGGTGTACTGGCTCACGCCTATAATCCCAGCACTTTTGGGAGGCCAAGGTGGGAGGATCATTTGAGGCCAGGAGTTTGAAACCAGCCTGAGCAATATGGCAAGATCCCATCTCTACAAAAAATAAGAAAAATTAGCCGGGCATGGTAGTGCACACCTGTAATCCCAGCTACTCAGGAGGCTGAGGCAGGAGGGTTGCTTGAACTCAGGAGTTCGAGGTTGAGGTGAGCTATGACAGCACCACTGCACTCTAGCCTGGTTAACAGCAAGACCCTGTCTCTAAATAAATAATAATTATTTGAATTCAGGTTTTATTAATCATATTGTTTATATTGAGACTTTTTTAGACCTAACTAGATCTCAAAGAATAACTTTGCACACATAGACCCTTTGCAGTTCACCTCTCCCCATGGGTTGATAATGAAGTGGGGGTGAACCAACCTGGTTGGTGCTTAGAGCTCAATTTATGAATTCCTCATAAATTAGAACAAACTGGTGGGTTGTTACCTGAAATGGGAGCTAGATTTTGGTTGAGGCAGGCAACCAACTCCTTTTCCTCTTTAGAGTATTATATTTCAAACATTTTCACCAAAACCTATGTAAGAATTACATTTCTCATCATCCTCAGCACTTACATACATGTATGACAATGTCATGTTGCCTGTATATCCTGGCTACATGTGGTATACTCTCATTTTTTTTTTTATTCAATTGAGTTTCATTTTATACAAAGTGTTGATCTTGATCCACTAAATTTCAGAAATTACTAAATGGATCATGACCCAAATTTTGAAACAAATGTCCTGAGAAATATAAGTTGGATGTGGTACCTACAGTTGTTCTTCATGATTCTCATTGAGGATTCTTCCAATTATGTAGAATATCTGTTGACAAGCTATTATTTATGTACATTGAAAACATGTACAATTAGACAAATGGCTAGAATAAGGACAACAGATAGCTATTTAACTTGGTAAATACAACTCAAATTGTTTTTTCAAAGAAAAAGATGTATTTTTTAAAATCATTCAATTCTTTTACTTTAAAAGTATAATAGTAACATTGTTTTTCCTCTTATAATGTCTATGTGGTTAAAAGTGATTCCCTATCATTGTCAGGTCAAAAATGGTCCCCTAGTAGTTGATGCAATGTATTAAATAAACAGTTTCCATTTATTATCGCATTGGATCTTCAAAATGGTATAGGCAAAGGGTGCCTTTCCCTACAGCTAAGGCTAAAACTCCAACTTTTTGACCTCTACTTTAGTGATCCACAGTGTTCCCATTAAGAGCAAAGGGAAAATAATGTTATTTACTTTATACTCTTTTTTTGCTCCACTTTGCCCCACTTCATTCACTTTGCCAAACTGCCAGGTCATCTTTACTTTGTCAAGATGTTAGCTGAAATCTGGCATTTAACCAAAAGAAAAAAGTTCACATTTTTTAGGGTTGGTAATCCTAGTCTTCAGAGACTCAAATATTGAAGCAGCCAGATTCACTAATGACACAGAGCAAATATCATTCATAAAAATATGTGTCAGGGTCCATATCCCAGAAATAGCAAGCAGCATTTGAATATACCTTCACTACTTTGTTGTGCAGTCACTTTTTATACCACTGTTTTCTAGAGGATAGATCACTTTTCTCTCAGTTTATCTCAATGCTTTTTCTGAAGATATTTTGTGACTCAGAGCATTTCCTTCAGAAAGTGCATGGCATTTGCTTATTCAGCATGGATACAGTCATTCATCACCAAAATCTGAACCTCTACAAAAAGATGGGCAGCAAGATAAGTGTTCTAAGTTCTGCCAAGCTCATCACACTTCTAGAAAACTTTTCCCAAAAGGACGTGATAGTGACGGTGGCTGCCTTCATGTATAACTTAGTTCAAATCTAAACATCTAATTAGCAATAACGTGCTCCACAGGCATAGAAAACACTGTTGCTCTTACTCTTTAGAGCAGTCTCCAGCATTACTCCTCTACTGTCCACATTAATAGTTATCTTTAATATACCTCAGTTTTATTTACTTGTCAGTTTATAGTGTTCTTAGGAAAGGACTCTAGGATTAAGCAAAACAGGATGTTTTTGAATATTATATCTTATTTTTTATTCAGCAGACATTTATTAAGTACCTTTATGTGTTCAGGCACTGTAAGGCCACTGAGGATTCAGAAATGAAACATGATTCCTGCTCATAGATGATAGAAAAGTTACCTTCTTATAAGACAAATGATGGAAGATCAGCACCCTCCATTTCATCAAAAAACTGAACACCTGTAACACCAGTCTGGTATTTGGTATTCTGGAAGCTAGAATTTTAAAGTTTTTTGAAATAATCACTAGGAAAGCCTTTCAGTCTGTTAGTCAGGATTACAGGGCTGTAAATGTATCTGCCTTTTGGGAAAGGATATTTTACAGTTTCCCTATCTACAACTGTTTGATAATCCATAATCAGTTGGCAAGACTGTTGAAACAATACAGTATCATATTTAGGGACAGTTAGGTATGTATATGTAGATACATAGTTATATATATAAAACACTATAATATAAAATTAATGTCATTCTTTAATTGTGCAGGTGAAGCTGTGTGACTTTGGATTTGCACGCATCATTGGTGAAAAGTCATTCAGGAGATCTGTGGTAGGAACTCCGGCATACTTAGCCCCTGAAGTTCTCCGGAGCAAAGGTTACAACCGTTCTCTAGATATGTGGTCAGTGGGAGTTATTGTCTATGTGAGCCTCAGTGGCACGTTTCCTTTCAATGAGGATGAAGATATAAATGACCAAATCCAAAATGCTGCATTTATGTACCCACCAAATCCATGGAGAGAAATTTCTGGTGAAGGTAAAAATAAAGTTTTGGCTCTGTGTTCTTTAAGTCTAAAAATCTCTGCGATCCCAAATCTGTCTCTTCTGTCTTCTTTTTAATATTTCCCATTTATCTTCTAAATTCAACTAGCTATACCAATTTCTGAGCACTATTCCTCTTACACTATCTTTTCTCTCTCTTCCTTTTAGTTCCCAGGCAAGCACTAATCCAGGCCTCAATTGCTTCATTCTGAAACTCCTAAGATACCTTTTTATCTTAGGAGTACCTTTTATCTGTCCTACCCATTAGACTGTCTTTTCTGGTCCTTTCCAGTCACTACAGCCAAATCTATATTCAGGAAAATTACTTTCATCTTACTCTGTTTCCAAACATTTTGGCTACTCTTTAACCACGCTGCAGCTGTAGATCTCTAGGACGTGGCCCAAGCTTACCTTCTAGCCTCATCTACCACTACACCTCCACATAAACCTAGTTGTTTGCTCTCTTCTGAACGTTTTCTGCAACTAGCTTAGGCCTGTTTTCCCCTGCCTGCAACCCCTCCTCCTTGCTATTAATCCTTCCAGTCATTTGAGGACCCCTTAATTTGTGACTCATCTATGAAGTCTAATTGTGTAAGATCTACTTAGGCTAATAGTTGGGCCTGTTTTTCTTAAGTATTCAATCTTTTCATAATTAACTTTCCTAATCTTGAGAACAAGACTATTATAAGCTTCTTGAATGAATATCGGTAGCTCCAGTTCTTTATACCTAGAATGAACTTTATATTCAACATGACATTCACCGGTTTGTTTTCTCCTCTCCTATGAACTTCTGCTAGGAAGCTTCATTCATTTGTCCTTGCCTAGTGAAGGCTTTCAGTTTGCAACCCCTGGTTTTATACCCATCAAGACTGACTTGGTTGGCCCTCTTTAGTTTACAGATACTCATAGGAAGGACGAGTACTTAGAACATTATTTAACTATCCCACTGAAGTTAATAGAATCAATGCTGGGGAATACCCCCACTTGGATTTAGCCAACAGGTAGGTATTTTGTATTTTTCCAGAAGTACTGGGCCGAATCAAAAGGATTGACTGATACTCCATTACACTGGGAGAGGTTTGAGGAACAACATGTAAAGACAGTAGCAGGTTTGCTTGGTAATGAGTAAAACTAATTAAAGAAGTTCATAGGAGAGGTTTTTGATGTTACCAAATCATCTCAGAGTTCCTGGGGCAGTGTGGTCTGTAGACCTCTTGTATCAGAATCACTTGATAAGTTTATTAGAAGAAAAACCCCTGGCCATATCCCAGAGATAAGATTCACTAGTTGGAATGATACCCGGCAATGTGCATTTTAAATAAACACTCCAAATAATTATGATGCACATGTTTCAGGAACAGTGATTAAGGGTTTGAAGTATTTGGAACACAGAGAAATTCATAATTAAAGTACTTATGGAAAATCTTCTCTAGTTCGATAGTATGTAGAAGAGAAATAGAGCTAGTATTGTATGTCTTTTATTTGGTTCATCTATGAGTCTAGACTTTGCTATCAGTATTTCAAATGTTTCATTATATAGGACTATAGTTAGTATTTGGTTATATGGTTGCCTTGGTTTTGCAGTTGATCCATTTATTTCTCCAACTAAGTGAATAAAATATGTGTGCCAGGATTCACCATATATGCCAAAACACACTGAACCTGTTTGTTAAAACAAAAGTGTGAACTTTTGGTAATAAGTTATCACCTCAGTCTAACCGTGTCTGTAGAGGCAGCAATGGCTTTGGCTAATTTTATAGATTAAGCCAGAGACTAAAGAGCAACACGGTGTCGTGGGGATGGGGGTGGACTGCCTGCAATCAAGACTCTGTTTTCTTCGTCTTAAATGTTAATAATAATAGTACTTAGCACTCTGTGCTAAGCACTGTTCTAAGCCCTTACATATATTAAACAACTTCATTTTACAGATGAGGAAATTTAGCCCTAGCATAGTTTTAATAACTGACTCCATATCACATAGCTAGGAAGTGGCAGAACCAGACTTCAGCCCAGGCAGTCTGGCTCCAGAGTGTATTATTTTAACCTGTATTCTATAGTGCCTTCTAAATAAAATGAAAATTTAACAGGTATACTTAATTCAGCAAACATTTATGGATCACTTTACATGTTAGCTTAAAGTCCATGTCCTTGAGAAGCAAAAATTCCTCGCCTTCTATTTGTATGCATTGAACTGCTTTCCAGGCAGAGTCACAGGTTTGGGCTGCTCTATATACCCAAATTCATGTATCTAAATTTTGTCTTTTCTCTTAGCAATTGATTTGATAAACAACCTGCTTCAAGTGAAGATGAGAAAACGTTACAGTGTTGACAAATCTCTTAGTCATCCCTGGCTACAGGTAAAAAAACATATTATCTCTGGCGATCTTCATTTGAACAGTTCACTGTGAATTGTCTTACCTAATGAAACCACTGTAAGATCAACAGATTCTACACATTTCTTAGAATAATGTAAGTGCTCTCCAGTGATTAATCTGTACTATGGCTGAATCTCTGGAAGTTGTGCAGTACATCATTGAAGTCAGTATTGATAGTAAAATTCCATGAACAATTATAGGGCCTATGTGTTCATTTCACCTTCTTGTAAGATTAGCATGACATGTTAGTTTGTCAAAATTATTTTAAATGTTCACTAAAAGGTTTATTTTTGCATTGAAGAGATTTTTTAAAAATGCCTTTAAAATGTTCGGCTCAACTCCCCCAAAGACATTGCACAGATTTGCCAAAAGATAGTCCCCAACTTCAGAGTAAGGACTATTTTAAAGGGAATGAGGGGTAGAATTAGCTTCAAAACAAATGCAATCATAGTCTCACTGATTATCAAGTTATCCTGTTAATATCTCGTTAATTCCAAGCACTTTCACCTACTTTGAGAAGTAAGGTTTAAGCCTTACACAGTATAAAACAAAATGTTTTAGTGATTATTATAAGCCACTTCAGAAGCCTGAAGCAGTTTTTTTTTTAATTTCAGAAAGCAGTTACTTTCCTTCAGTAGACACTTCATTAAAGTTTTTAACATTACTAATTTAAAATATCACAAATAGAACTTAAGTTTATAGCCCAGTCCTTGTAAGTAAGGTCATAAATTGTCAATTGCTTATAAATAGTCAATTATTTGACTAGAGTGCTAAGCCAAAAAAAAAAAGTTGACAGTATTTTGTTTATGTTTCATAATCACTTCATTTATTCCTAGGACTATCAGACTTGGCTTGACCTCAGAGAATTTGAAACTCGCATTGGAGAACGTTACATTACACATGAAAGTGATGATGCTCGCTGGGAAATACATGCATACACACACAACCTTGTATATCCAAAGCACTTCATTATGGCTCCCAATCCAGATGATATGGAAGAAGATCCCTAATTATCAATGAGCTAACTTCAGTAAGCAAAGATTTCATTTTGTGGACTGATACTTTGCTGCATAACTGTTGTTCATTGTAGGTTGTCATCTGCAAGGATGCAAAAACATAAGGAAATACAAGGAATTGGTGACACCAATACTGTAGTTCATAATGAGTAGGTACAGGAGAGGAAACTGAGTAATAAAAACTCACAGTGGAATCAAGGTGAAACTTTTTACAAATTTTTGTAGCATTTTTTTCCTAATCCTTCACTTTTGTACTACAGTGGCACTTAATTTATCTTCCCTTTCCTGTTTTTACATTGTGTTTTTAAAAGGAAAAAAAAAAGGCAAGCTAGAGTCCAGTAATTGCATAGCTTGACCAAATCATACAAGAGTTATAGGTTAATTATTAAATAGGTTTGTATTTAAGAGATAACTGTGAGGCAACCAATATGTGATTTTACAAGGACTTTTAACATTTGTTTAACCAACCATGGATGCATTGAGGGGTTTTGCTAGATGTCTAGAAAAGGATCGCTGGACTGTTTCACCTTTCTTTTTTAGGTCAATCAAGCCTCTGAAACAGTGATTCCTAACCTTTTTGAGTTGCAACTCTGTGCTCTCTACAACATAAAAATTAGGTTGTCACCTCTTCTGTGAGTATGTTGCAACAGTGGGACATTTATGTTACAAAATGAGTTAGAACTGCTGTTCTAAGTGTTGAACTGTTACGCATGTCTTCGCATAGCTCAGCTCTGCTACTAAATACATTCTGACTGACACCATCCTGATGCCAATACTGGATTCCAGCGTTCAATGGGTGCAGATCTAAACTTTACACAATTTATCTTTACCTGGGGTTGAGTAACTTGAGGGATAAAATTAAATATGTACTAAAAGCAAGGCCAGTGCAAAGTCAGTTAATGCTACAGTTACTATATAGCAAACAGTATCCTTTTTTCTTCCCTTATCTTATTAGAGGGCTTTGCACATATTTGGAATGTTTTTGAATCAATTATTTTAAGCAGTTTGGTGGAATGGGTAGGGGTGGAACATGAAGCACTTGCTTTATAAGGGTGTACTATATTACCAGCATAGCAAATAAAAGAATACGTTATTTCTTTTTACCTTTAAGTTCCAGCAGCCACCTATTTTAAAAATAGTTACTAATATTTTCCCAAAGAAAGTTTAAGATCTGGGACCATCCACTTGTAAGAAATCTAGTGGCTTTTTGTTTCTTCATTCCTCAGTAATCATTGTAAACCTTTTTTTTTTTCTTCCCCACTCTAAGACCGAAAGAGTTAAATCTTGGCTGCGTTATTATTAGCTACGTTGACCTGGGCAGAGATGACAGTCTGTCTGAGTCTATAGCTTCTCAGTCTGTCTATAAAATGAAGATCATAATTCTCACCTCTACCTTCCTCATGGTGTTGCAAAGATCAGATATGTATGAATATATTTAATAAACTAAAAACTGTAAGTGTTAACTCTTATTGCACACTGAATTTGAGGTAGCAGAGGAAAAGAAGGTTCTTGTATATGAACAGACTAAGATTGAGAGGGCCTTTAGAGATCCCTGAAGCTACCGTCCTATTTAGGACTAAAAGTATCCTTGAGAGAATTATAGCAAACATTATGTAGTGCCCCTGTGTTCTAAGTTGTTTTATGTTATAACTTACCTCACAACAATAGGGTAAATACGTTAGGAGAACCCTATCTTACAGATAAGGAAATTAAGGCACAGGGAGATTAACCAGCTGCCAGAATTCACAGTATGTGTATTTGAACCCAGGCAGTATGGCTCCAGAGTCCCTCTTAAATCCTCCTGACAATTATGCTGTATTATCTACCACAGATATCTCCAGGAGACATTCCCTATCTTTCAGTAATTTGTTCTCATATGGGAGTTTCAAAGATTAAACCAAATTAATTTTGAAAAAACATTTTAGAAATACTATTTTCCCTGTGGAAGAAGATGACTTCCCTAGATTTCTCCAAAGTAAGTCTGTTTATATCAACATGCACAAAATGGAATAATTGTGACTCACTAGGCAACCTACTGTGGTTTTGTTGTATATGGTGAAAATCAACTGGAATGATGTTCGTTAGCTATACTTAAATAATCAAACCTACAAGCCATGAAATTAATTGCACTCTTTTTTTTATTTTTGTTGTTGAATGCCTAAGAAGTTTTCTAAAATTTTGTAAAGGCACTGTCAGATAATTTGGAGTTGAGTAATTACTCCAGATACTGTATAACCTATGTAACCTTCTGTCTTGAAGTCAAGTTGTGTTTATATAAGAAATAATTGTTTGCTAGAAACATTTGATAATGTATAAAGTAGTCTATAATGACACTGTTCCGTACATTTTTATATTTTTTGTTACATCCAACTTTTTGTAAATATACTCAAAAGAAGCTTGATAATAAAATGTATTTCCATATCATCGTACTTTTCCATGTGAAAACCTAAGCCTATCTCTATTAGAGGTATCTAAAGAAAATTGTATTTGGTTGTGTTATTTTTCTAGGCCTTGGTAATAGAACTATTTGGGAAATAATATTTGTAAATAGAACTAATGCTATATTTAAAAGTACTGATTTTTTTTTTTTACTTGACAAAAATAAAAAAACTAATTTTTACACTTTTATACTAAATTTGAGGTAATTATCTGGAGGTCTCATTTCGTGGAATGAAAGTTTGGAATAATTATAACTATAAATTTTTCAGGAGCTGCCACCCAAATTATTCAACAGTTGTATTAATGACTACTGAAAGACTTAGGAAAATTAAAAACCTATTGTCAAAATTAATTTTCTAGGTTTTAAGATATAAGGCTTTGCCTGACTCTTCCCCTTTAATTATAAAATGTTTATGTATTTGGGAAGGGACATTTTCATCTTTCAAAAGTTGTCCCAACTAAGTCTTTGAATAAATGAAATAAACATGGAAATAGAGTAAGAGTAACTCAGGAATGGCCTGAGGCTGGGCAACATCTGAAAAATAAGGCCTCCATCTTCCTTTATTTTAGCGTGTGATGGAATGCTAATCCTGTTCTCAGTAAAGCAGAAGTAGCAATAAAAAGCAACAGTTCCCAACTCTGCCAATGAACTTCCAATATAATTAAGCCTTAAATTCAAGACATATGGCTAGTATTCTTTTCCCTTTAATCTCCCTTATAAATTTGTGTTGCTAATTTAACAATTCCCCAGAAAGTCCAGTATTAATCTTTCCAGTATTAATATAAAAGTTCTGTGAACCAAAAAAATGAGAACTTCATATGGAATTAAAACTTGACATTTATCTGAAAATAAGGAAGAATTAGCTCAATTTTAAAAATTATTCCTCCTAGGTAGTCTACATTTACTCTATTTCAAGCACATGTCAGGATTACTATTATTTACTGTAACTTATGATTAAAAAAAATTTTCGTTACTTACAAGTATTTATTTAAATAGCTTTTCCCCTTCAGCAAAAATGGGATCGTAACTGTAAAAACCTTTAAATCCTACTTTTTTCACTTACTGAATCTTAGAGATCTTTCTATGTCAGAACGTAATTGCTCTACTTCATTGTTTAAAAATAACAGATTTATTTAATCAGTACCCTGTGAATAGCAATTTAGATTGTTTGCAGTTTTTATTAAACCAATTGGGGCTCGTGTTTATTTTTTAAAATAAAAGTACAGCAACTAGCTTTATTAATTAAAGGAAACTCAGTTTCATGATAATTATTTCATTAAGTTGAAAACACACATTTGTACCAAAACTCAGTCACAACCCTTAAAGTTCTATAATTTTTGGTTGAATTATATGGGCTATTCTTACTGGCTGTGAAGAGAGAAAATACTTGTAACATTTATATTACCTGAAATATATGAAATGTGTTCCCTTTATTTTGATTTCTTAGGCAGACTGAGAGGTAAAAAGTCCAAGCTGAAATATCACTGCCAGGCAAGTTCACTAAACCCAGCCACAGGGAATGCGGAGGGTTTTGACTGACATGCATTCATTTGATGCCTTCCACCATGAAGTCTCTGATGAGGTAGCAAGGCAAAAAAGTTAAATCTTTCTCCCATCTTCTCAGGATTCATTAACATATCATATCCATGAAGTAACTGCTGCCTCATTGATGGCTCATCTGATTTATCTAAAAGAACCTGAAAAGAAAAAAATTCTTAGCAAAATAACCAGAAGAATTTGTAGTTGTATGCAGCAATACAAGTAACTCTTTAAATATTCCAATAAAGCAGTGCTCTGAATTTGCTTGCTGATTACCTGCCTGAGAATCACTGGGTGCTTATTAAAAATGTAGGTTGCTGTGACCCAAACCTATAGATCTGCATTTTTAACGAATACCCCAGGTGGTTTGATCTACAGTAAGGTTTAAGTGTCCTAAGAAGAACAGTTAGAAAATCCAAACCCTGAATACAGTTTTCTTAATGAACACAACACTATTTGGAAGTCTTAATTCTACCCAACATAGAGATGCATGAAACTTACCAGGGTGTCTGGTCACACTAAATCCTACGTTACCGAAAAGACTGAAACACCAAGGATCTGGATAACTACCAGAGCTTAAGGCCAGGTAAACTTGTATAAGGTAATTTTTGAAATGCTATGGAATTAAAATATTTAATTATAATGAAACTAAATAAACCTTACCTTTAGCCGGACATCAATACCCATATTTTTTAAAAATGTTTGCTGTTTTATTGGGCCCAGAGAGGCTACTTTTCCCTGTGCCATTCTTCGCAAATAACTGAAGTCCACGTCAGCTGTTAAATCTGCTGTTCCTGGGGCAATTAAGACATCATGAAGCTTGTGGCCACAAAACCCCTTGAACATAAAGAAATGAATTTTTGCCCTTTTATGGTTATTATCAAGATTAAAGGAATGCTATCATATTAGTACCTTTTTATGTAGCAGCTGTTAAAAAGGAAAATACGGCCTAAATCTATGGTTTACAGACTTTCTTCATTCTTCAAATGAATGCTATGTGGAAAACCCAGTATAAAGTACAGTGTTAGAGTGCCTAAAGATACCAGCCTTAACAGAGTTAACATTTTCATTAATGCCTGTGGTGATGGAATAGTGATCTCCTTAATTCACAGAATTCATCCAAAGAAATTACCTATGCAGAGAACAGCTAGGCAGTGTTTTAAAAAGTATATCCATCAACCATGTGCATCAGATTCACCTAAGAATGTTACTGGACTCCACCCAGCCCTGATCAGTCAGAATCCCGGAGGTGTGGCTAGAGAATCAGCCTTTTTACCAAGCTCTCCAGGTTATTCTTAGACGTGATGAAGTTAGAAAGGAAGAACCACAAATCTAGAAAATGACTAATGGCATCTAGTTAAATGTATTTCAATTAAAGTATATTGAACAGAACTGATCACATTCAAAGAACATTGAGAAAGGATGTTTAGGAAGGGTAAAAGAATCCATCTGAAGAGGGGAAAAGATAAGGAAAATATGATAGAAAAAGTTATGAGTGATTACAGTGGCTAGATTAAATCTCCAAAGTATCAAAATTATTTTTGAATGAAGGGGGACAGACAGAAAAGTTTAAGAATGAAGAAAACCTTTCCATTTGGATCATCAGATGCTTACTAGGATCTATAAACCTAGGTTCTACAGCTAAGGAAGAATGTAAACAATTCAGATCCTGTTGAAAGGAGAGTTGGACAGTGGATTTAGGGTTAGGAGTAAGATCTAGGCTTTAAGGGTAATTATAATAATGTGAATTAATGTTAATTATAAAATAATAATATAAAAATCCTAAGCACTGTAGAAACCAAAGATAAAGACCTTCAATGAGCCTCAGATCTAACAGTGAGATTCTGATAAATCATGTTACTGAATTACACATACTCTGAGGGTATCTGTCTTTGTTCCATCATGACCGTAATCAGCAATCAGTGCAGCACCTCCAGTTAGTGCAATGCGTTGAGAAAGTTCCTGAATGATAACACCAGCGTCAGGAGACACTTCAACATGATCCCTTGTTTCGTCATGCTGGTAAGAAAATAGTTGAAAGAATCAAAATACATCATTCAAAAGAACTGTTTCCTTAAGGGCTTTTCAACAATGAGCATGTCTTAGTTTTAATAAAAATAAATTCCTTCTCAATATAAATATGATCTCTATACTCAACTTTTAACACAATATCCTTATTATACAAATCTTGGTTCTTTGATGCTACCCACTTGGTTTATAAAAACATTTTAAACTCTTTCACAAAAAGGCAAATGCCCTCCCAACAACCCAGATAGCCAAGTGCATTATTTTAATATAAAATTACTTTTATACCATAAATCACATAAACATATTCCACTAGGTTGAAAGCATGGGAAAGGGATTTTTGTCTACCTAGAACAATGCCTGGCACGTAACAGGCACTGAAAAAAATTGTACTGGAAGAACAAACGATATAAATCCAATATAACAAAACAGACCCTAATATGTTCAATTATTAGCTAAAGGTCCACAACAAGTGTATACTAGCTTAAAAAGTGAAATGACAATAAATATTAACAATTGTCAACTTGACTAGTATATATGATATTTCACTAATTTGCTGAGCTGACTGAAAATTTGATATTTGTCTTTCATTATGAAAACATACATTAACTTTTGCTCCCTCCTAACACCTTACTGAAAATGATGTAATGACCTGCCCTGATGTCTACCTGTGGTGGCACAGGTATAACAGGTACAGAGTCATACATACTCAGGGTTGAATCTCAGCTCTTCCTATGCTTACTGGTAGACAGTTACTTAACCTTTCTGAGTGTGTTTCTTCATTATATACATATATTGTAGGTTTGTTGTAAGGATTAAATAAAATAATACACATTTAGCCCCTAGTGCTACTAAATACATTACTGTGGCTTAGCTATAAAAACCACAAAGTCAACCTCATCAGCCATCAGGTAACACCTCAGCTTACCATGCTGACATTTTCACCATCTTAGATTGCTCTTAAAGAAGATAAGAGGTTGTATTACCATTCGCTGCATTCAACTGAAAGGGAAAATTTACTCCCTCCCTCGTAAGTGAACACTAACCAAGTCAAGAACTAAAAAGAATCACAACTTCCAGGGCCAGAAGTTAGCTCTTGGCTTTAGGAATCTGTCACTCAGGTAAAATTAGGTAGCCAGAACATGAAAAAATAGAAATGTTCACAAGTGTTCAGTCTGATATCTTAACTTTGCAAAGAAAACTTAATTCATAGGTTTATGTTTAAAAGCTCATGCTTTTAAAACATTATTTCTGAGGTAGGAAGTTCTTAGTTAAGGTTCAGAGAGTAGAAATATTTTTTCAAACTGGAAAAAAAAAAGAATAAAAAAAGAGGCAATCTTAAAGCCTAAAAATTCCTGAGAAGTACAAGGATTTTTTGAACCTCTAAACAATCCCAAGATAGGCTCTTGTTCTGTGAGGTCAATAGAAGGCAGTAAAATCTACCATTCTGGCAGTTTCAAATCAAATCTAGATCTGGGTGGAGGCATAGGAAAAAAGCCACACACAAAAGTGATAATAAGAAAACTTAACCTAATTTAGTTGTTTTCAGAATTAAATGAGAAAATAGAGTAGTACATATTCAATACATGTTAGCTGCTGTTACTTTACTATAATCTTTACTACATTGCTCTCACAGACATTGAACTCTTCCTATAAAGCAGACAGTATCGTCACCATTTGACAGGAAATTGAGGTAAACACAGAAGGTAAGGGACTTAGCTGAGTAACTAACTGCTTATTAACTATCTCCTATTACAAGACATTAAAGTCACACACACTTAAATGATTTTAACCTGCCTCTAGATCCTCTGTACTTTCACAATAAAAAGCACCTCCCTCATATGTTGCTAGCACCCCCACCCCCCCACCCCACCCCCGGTACGGAACTCTAAAATAGTAATTCAGAAAATAAGACTGTAGAGATTCTGTTAGCAATAAAAGAAACTTAGAAGAAGAAAAAAAGTATGTTCCTACTTGTATGAAAGCTGCTGCTGGGGTGGCACAGGGCGCCAAAACAAACCTCAGTTTATCAGAAACTTGTGGATCAACATCAATGAATACTTCTCGCCACCCTTGGGGTGTTTTCTAAACACAAAGTAACACATAAGAACAAATTTTTGCAAGTGTATTCTCAAAACTGCCTCTCAAAAGTAACTACTAGCTTTCCCCTCTTACCATAAATAACTAAATAAGCAGCATGCAAACTGCCCCCAAAATGGAAAACAAACTCAGGATGAATAATCAGAAGCTTCTGCTAACAAATTGCTACATGATAATGACATCTGCTCTTAGCCTTAGAAGTTACTGGTACACATACATTATCACCAAATCTTAAATCTCCTCACAAAAAGAATGAAGAAAAATGTTAATCTTTGGAAGTTAAAAAAATTTGCTAAAGTCTACTGAGCATGGTGACAAAACGCTTCCGTCTCAGCTACTTGGGAGGCTAAGGCAGGAGGATCACTTTGAGCCCTCGACTTCGAGACCAGCCTGGGCATCATAGTGAGACCCGTGTCTTAAAAATTGTTTTTTTGCTAAAGTAAATCCTTCATTGCATGATAGCCAGTTACCATCTCATGTTCTCTCACTTCTTTATCCCAGAAGAATTAAAATTTCTTAATAATTATCCCAGGAGAATTAAGAATTCTGGTATTTCATTTTTGCTTTTCAATTATTTATGTTCATCAAAATTCCAAATAATAAAAATAACTTCAAGAAGTAATATCTGTATACTGGGTAAACACCACAAATATTCATTCTTGCAATACAAGGCCTTTTGTATTCATTTATATACATGACTTTTTTCCCCATCATACCTGAAACTTATGCACAGGAAGAACATCAAAAAATTCATGTGCAAGATAAAAGCTGTACCCTATTTAAAAAGAGAACAATTAATGTTTCAGCATTTTAAGAAAATTAAGTTCTTTTGAACATTAACTGTAAAAAATAAAATGCCTAATTCTTCAGTATTGGAACCATGTGATACTTTCATAATCATCACTACCACAAAATTATCTACCTCCTCATGGAAAACCTACACTGCAGAACATACAAAGGAACAATTACTACTATTCTCATTTTCCACATAATAAAGTCACAGGAACTGAAATACCTGAATTATTAGTTAAATCTTTTATTCATCACTAGGCCTGAAAGAAATTAGAACTCAAATTTGTTAGCTGGGAGGGAATTTGAATTTCATAAAATCATCTGAGAAGGCTCAGGCTAGGAATGGCTTAGGTGCCTTGCCCAAGATCATAACACCACTTTAGGTTTGAGCCAGGCCTCATCAATATTCCTAACTAGGACAGGGATTTTGCCACCACACCTTGCTTGTCTTTAGACAAGTGAGGATTTTTAAAAGACTGGATAACTGAACTAAACCCACCTACCAACACTACTTCCTTGAGCCCCCGCTAGCCCTCGGCTGCTTCATCATCAGCACCACCTTCGCTACAGGAAAATCCTAAAAAGTACAGCGGAGATTTACAACTTTGTTTTATTTCATTTTTACAAAACCACATGACATCCAATGTGCCTTAATGTCAGGCAATTTTATTTCCTAATATCATGCTCTTTTTCTAGGAAAAAATATGCTATTCTCTATGGATAAGGGACTTGGCAGCAATAACTTATTGTATTACTGTAAAAGGTTGTGGTCCTATTACTACCGTGAAGCAACGGCTGTGATCAAAATTCTTTCATTAATCTATGTAAAGTAATTACCTTTTGGAACATCTTGCAGATCTCGGTACCAGGAAATTGGAATCCCAGACTTAGTGACACCTTTCATATACACTGGGGATCCAGCATTCCGCTCTAATGGGACCTTCTCTTCCGTCAGTGTCAATGCTTGAATCTCACTTAATTTTTGGCTCACCTCTACCAGATGTATTGAAATGTCACAGTTTTTCAGTACAGATCCAAGCTGACTGAACACCTAAATACAGAAAGAAGGAAAAACGACTGGCAAAATACAATGTGTTAAATAGATTTTAGGTTTTCTAATCATTTGCCTCAATAATTTAATCATGGCATAATAGAAGGAATGTTTGGTTTCAGAGAGAATATGCTTCTTACCCAAGCCACTCTCCAGTAGTCTATTAAGAGTCATAACTTTATTAGAGTTATTAAGTATAATCTACGCAAGAAATGAACAGTACCCAATTTGGTTTCCTAATGATAAATTACAATTAACAAATGAAAATAAAAGATTTAGTATCCAATAAAAACAATCATTCAGATTATGAAGTCTAAAAAAAGACCAAGGGAATAAAATGTATATAGCCTTGTTTTTGTAAAGTCTCTATGTCTCTGAAATAATCTCATCTTCAAGATGATAAAACTGTATCCTCAGAGAATCAAATTTGAATCGCACTAATAACTTGACAGCTTAACTCTAGGATTCTATCGCATTTTCAATTTTTAGTACACAGCATTTTTTTTACTGTTGTAAACATGCAAGAGGAAAAGGAAAATACTAATATTTTACCAATCTTTTAAGGCTAAAAATTCAATGGCAAAAGCCATTGAATAATTGATAAAATATATCAATATTATTTTTCACTGATGATATGCCTCCTCCTTTTGAGACATGAATATGGAGATACACACTGACAATATAAACAAGATGATTTTTCCAAATTTAGTGTTGAGATGAAACTTTGCATGGAAAAACTTCCCAAGAGAAAAATCCTTCAGAAGGTAAGATCAAAAATAAAAACAGTTCTGTAACACTTAAGCTATTTTCTTTAAATCCCTTTAAATTCTTTGGCTTTTAAAAGTTCTTAAGACTCAATCTAGAAAAGCATGCTTCATACATTTTAAGGTCTATGGGCTTGATTTTTAAAAAGTACTTGAACAGAAAATATTATTTGAGAATTTCATTAAATCTTTATATTCAAATGACTTTGCCAATTTAAAGAAATATAAAATGGAACTTAAATCAGTGATTTTGCTTACTTTCTTCCCTCAAATATGATATAATCGGGATTCTTATTTGTCAGATGTTTATATATTTTCCTTTTTTCGGCCTCCAACTTTGCATGGTTATATATTTTCTTTCTAAAAATCCTTCAATTCCTAATTTAAAGCAAAAATCATATAGCACCAAGAAAATTTTTTTTTTTTACACACACACACCAAGAAATTTAAATTTATATTGAGTAAATATGTTTTACATTGAATTGGCAAGTACATACAAAATAAACTGGAAAACACTAATGGGTTCCAAAAGAGTAAAATCTACAAAAGTTTAATAAATACTTATCAGCTACTATACAATTGTCCTCATGATACAAGGAAGAATATCCACCATCTGGTTAAACAAACATGATGTGACCCCTCTGTTCTCCCTCTACCCTCAGAAGTCACCACCATTCTGAATCTCGAGTTAATCATTTCCTGAGTTTTCTTTATAAATGTTACTAAATATATTTGTATCACCAAACATATCAGGTTATTAAATATAAAATGTCTGATTTGAAATCAAAAGCTTATCATATCTCAAACAAGAACGACAATTAATCAAAGTATGTGCCTAAACTATCGACACGGTTTTGCCATCTTAACGTTTTATTTATGCCAGCAGCCAAGAAGCCTGGAGAGGGAGTAGTGATGAAATTGCAAAAGGCATTTTCCACAGCTTGTTGAGAATTGAACATTTTTCCTTGCAAGAAGTGGTCGTCAGTTGGTGCGAGGTCTGGTGAATACGATGGATGACAGAGAGTTTCCAAGTCCAGTTGCTGTAATTTGAGCAGCGCTGCTTGTGTGACATGTGGTTGAATGTTGTCTTCCAAGAGGACTGGCCTGTCTCCATTGACCAATCTTGGCTGCTTAATCACAAGCATCCTCATCATTTCATCAAATTGGTTGCAGTAGACATCTGCTATAATTGACTGACCAGGTTTCACAAAGCTGTAGTGGACAATACCAGCACCAGTTCACAGATACCATTAGTTTTTGATGAATATTTGGTTTTGGACTGTGTTTCGGCACTTCATCTTTATCCAGCCATTGTGCTGAATTCACTTTTCATCACACATAACAATACAATACAACGTAGAAATGGCTCGCCGTTATGTTGTGACAGCAAAGAAAGGCAAGCTTCCAGATGATTTATCTTCTGACGCTCATTTAATGCATGCAGAACCCCACCTATCCTTACCGATTTGTTTCAAATGGTCCAATACTGTTGGAATAGTAATGTCAAACTTTGCTGCTAATTCACACATAGGTTGAGATGGATTCGCTTCCACTACAGCTTTCAGCTCATCATTATCCAGCTTGGTCTCCCACATGGCTCAATTTCAAGATTAAAATCATCAGTACAGAACTTCTCAAACCATCCATATACTGTGCATTCATTAGCCACATACTTCCCAAACCCTTCGTTGATATTTCGAGTTATGTGTGCAGCATTAGTTCCACAATGGAACTCATATTTAAAAATAACACTTTTTGACTTTTTGACTTATCCATGGTTTCACAAAAATTGCTCTCAAAAAAAATTTGAAAGATAATCACAAGTCAAAACATACATTTGAAAGACTGAGGATGTACCTTCACAATAAAAACAAAGCAAGAAATGTCAAAGTGAAATGTCAGAGATACCAACTTTCAAACTTAGTACTTAAGGAAATAGGATATTCCGTACTTAATAATCTAATATATTGTTTAAGGTTGACTATTTTTGGATTTTATATAAATACAATCATATGATATGAATTTTTTCAATTGCTATTTTCACTCAACATCCTGTTTCATGTTGAATACTGTTGCACTGTGCTGTGATTTCATGCATTGTTACAGCAGTTGGTATTCCACTGTAAGACTATACCACAATGTATTGATCCATTTCCCCACTGATAGGCATTTGGGTTGTTCTCAGTATTTTGCTATTTTAAACGATGTTGCTATCTTCTTGTACATGTCTTCCCATACACACATATACTAGTTACTCTAGGGCTACAGTCCCTAATACCTGGGCCTCAGACCGGTACTGGCCAGAGGCCTGTTACAACCTAGGCCACAAAGCAGGAGGTGAGCAGCGGGCTGCTCCCCACAGTAGCATCACCGCATAAGCTCCGCCTCCTGTCAGATCAGCAGTAGCACTAGATTCTCACAGAGGGGAGAACCCTACTGTAAAATGCATATGCGAGGAATCTAGGCTACACACTCCTTATGAGAATCTCATACCTGATGATCTGAGGTGGAGCTGAGGTGGTGATGCTAGTGCTGGGGAGTGGCTGCAAATACAGATTTTTCATTAGCTGAGAGGTTTGACTCCACAATAAATGTGATGCACCTGGATCATCCCACAATCACTCCATGCCCCCACCCTGGTCTGAGGAAAAAATGGCTTCCATGAAACTGGCCCCTTATGCCAAAAAGGTTGGGGACCACTGCTCAGGGGGATATTACTAGCAGTAAAATTACTGGGTCATACAACATAAGTAGCTCTCATGTCAGTAGATAATGCCCAACAGCTTTTCAAAATGGTTGTACCAAATTATACTCTTACAAGCAGTACATAAGAGTACTTAAGGAAAGTACGTAAGAGTACTGCTTCTAAGTAATCTTTGCTCCATATATCCCCATTCTCACCAATACATGGTGGTGTCAGATTTTCTAGGTTTTTTCCAATCTGATGAGGTGGTATCTCACTGTGAATTTAATTCTCATTTCCCTGACTACTAATGAGACTGAGCATCTTTTTGTTTTTATTAGCCACTTAGATTTCCTTTTATGAAGGGCCTGTACACGTCTTTGGCCTGATCTTATTGATTTAAAGGCATTCTTTATATATTCTAATTACTAGTTCTTTGTTGGCTATGTGTTGCAAATAACTTCTTCCACTCTGTAGCTTGTCTAATCATTATTCGTGGTGTCTCTGAAGAACATAAAGTTCTTAATTTTAATGTAGTTTAAATTATTACTTTTCCTTTATAGCTTTTTTATATAATTAAAAAACTTTCCCTACTCAGAAGACAAATATAGTCTCCCATAATGTATTCTACGTGTTTACTATTTTTAGCTTTCATATTCATCCTCCACCCTCCATTTTTTAAGCTTATAGACAATAATAAGTAGTAATGATTCATTACATTATTCTGACATTATATCTTACCTGAGAAATACGAGATTAAGGAGCTGAAAGACAAGGAAATCAATGAAGTTTGCAAACTCAGTCAGAAGTAGTAAGATTCACCCACATGAGACTTAAAGACATTCTTTTATTACCTACCCTCAAAATATCTCCCACGAGGGTACCCTTCCCTGGGCCCAGCTCCACAAGCTGGAAAGCTATGCTTTTCCCAGTGGCCATCCATTCACTAATGAACCATATCCCCAGTAACTGTGACAAGGGAAAAAAAAATACATTATATCTTTTTGTAAAGTATATTATTATAAAGTATAAAATTATACAATATAAAACTCCATATAAATATGGACTTTATGCTAGAAAGCAAAATGTTTACAAACAATCATATATGTTATTTAATATGTACGTATATGTATACACACATAGGAACTTCACTGGGACTATGTCACAACATATACCATTTAGGAAGATTAATAATAGGAGAAAATAGTTATAAGGCAGCCTCTGCTACAAAAGGTCCCATGACACAGATAATAGGATATCACTTACAGAAAGATACTAGTATTTGAAAGCAAATAAACATGTGAAATGTGATTATGCCATTTCTTCATATTCATATTTAAACAATTACATGACTGTTAGATATAATTAATATTTTTCAATACCTGGATCCTACTTCCTCTTGTGTACTATTCCGTATTTCTAAATTCATCAAAGGTACTTATATGGAAATGAATGAACTAGAAATTGTGTATTAATGGGAGACTTCTAACTATGGCTAAATCATGGCTGGGGGCTTTAGAGCTCCTCTTAATTCCACTAATTCATCAGAGTCCTTTTTTATCTTTTCTCTCTTCTTTCTTAGGTACTCTCTCTTTCCTCACCTTTCCTTTTGTGTCTCTTCCTTCTTCCATTCTCAATTTCATCTGATTCTCCTTTTCCAACCTCTTTACTTCCATTTTCCTTCCTTCTCTCTTTGTCCTCCTCTCTCCATTTTCTTTTCTACAGTGAAGTATAAACTTTTAGATGTCCTCTTTATCATTTTTTCTCCTCTACTGCCTATTTCCTCAACATATAAACTACTAAAACTTTAAAACCTTTGATAAATGACAAAAAAAGCTGTAAGACACTATCACAGAATAATACAACTTGATCTGCACTCAAATGTGTATGATATTAGTTTCTTTCACAGTTTACATTAGATATTACCTCCCCAAAGATCTGACTTATTTCAGGTGAAGTAATGAAATCTCCTTTTTCTCCCAGCATGTCGCGGTACACATAATATCCCTGAGTAAAAAGAGAAAATGGTTAAAAGTTAATTTCCAAAAAGTGCTTTTTAAAACACCCCTCCAAAATCTTACAATGTATACAGTGAAATAATTATTTAGTGAGAAAGTTCTCTCCTCTAAATAAGCAAGATAAACACAGTATTACCTAAATTTTACAAAGTAATACTTAGTTATTTTATAAAACTAGTAGAAAAACAGGTACTCCTCCACCGTAAAGGCAGAAGCCATGCCATGTCCATCTCTGCACTCCTCACCCTTCCTCCCCTCCCCGCTTGCACACCCAACACAGTAAGAGCCCGTTTACCTCTCCAGCCTCCTCTGCAAAATTCTAACACCTTCTGTTTCATATTGGCCCTGCCTGCTGGTGATGTTGTTTCTTGACATGGGTGCTGGTTACATGGGAGTGTTCACTTGTGAAATTCATAGAGCTGTATACTTATGATTTATGAACTTTTCTATATATTATATCTCAATAAAAAGGATTTTTTTTTTTTTTTTGAGACAGAGTCTCACTGTGTTGCCTGGGCTAGAGTGCCATGGCGTCAGCCTAGCTCACAGCAACCTCAAACTCCTGGGCTCAAGCGATCCTCCTGCCTCAGCCTCCCGAGTAGCTGGGACTACAGGCACACGCCACCATGCCCGGCTAATTTTTTCTATATGTTTTTAGTTGTCCAATTAATTTCTTTCTAATTTTAGTAGAGACGGGGTCTCGCTCTTGCTCAGGCTGGTTTCGAACTCCTGAGCTCAAACAATCTGCCCGCCTCGGCCTCCCAGAGAGCTAGGATTACAGGCGTGAGCCACCGCGCCCGGCCCAAAAAGGGTTTTTTTTAATAGCCCTGCTTGTCCACATATCCATGCCATTGCAAATTCTCACCCTTCTCCCCTTTCTTTTCTCCCTGACAATCTTATGCTCATCCTCTGAATCTGCTCAAATGCTACCTTTGCTGACCTCTTCCTCCAGCCCTCCAACCTAAGACCAAATCTAGTGCTGACTTTTCTGAGCTTATTTATATGTCTATGTTCTTTACCAGAAGGTACACTTATTTGGGGAGAAGACCATGTCTTATTTATCTTCATATCCCAAGTTTTAGCATAATGGCTAACCTAACAAATCAATAGGAAAATATTTACCAAATGTTAAAAAAAAGAAACAATCAAAAATTTCTCTCGGGGGGCAAGGGCAACATACGTGACCTGAACATCTGTACCCCCATAATATGCTGAAATTAAAAAAAAAAAAAGAAAAAAAAAATTTCCCTATGCTTCTCAAGCTCCTATTCTATGACCTTACTCTTAGCACGTGACGTAGGCTCCTGTGCCACACAGGAATTAAAGAATGTTATAAAATACGACTTCCTGACCTACCTGGGACTTCCTGAGTTCACAGGGACTATGTTACAACACAAACCATTTAAGAAGATAATAATAGAAAATAGTTATAAGGCAGCCTCTGCTATAAAGGTCTCATGACACCAATAAGAGGATACCACACACAGAAAGGTACTAGTATTTGAAAGCAAATAGATGTGAACACGATTACGCCATTTCTAATCCTGATCCCATTCTTTCCTTGGGACTCAAAGGATGAAATGCCTTCCTCCCCTTCCCGTTATCCAAACCTAATCCCTCCATCCGGACTGCCAGTCCTCATACAACTCCCTCTTCCAGCTTCAACTTTTCCCTTTCAGCGTTTGAAATAAATCAAGTTACTCCCATCTTAATTTTTTTTCATTCCATACAACATCCCCCTTCTAGGCTTCCTCATTCCCTTGATAAGTAAGCAGTTTAGGGGTATTTATCCTTTTTTGTGTTATGAACCACTCTGGTAATGCAATGAAGCCTACAGACCCCTTATAGAGTGTTTTTAATTTTTTTTGGTTTTTTTGGAGATGAAGGTCTTGCTATGTTGCCCAGGCTGGACTCAAACTCCTAGGCTGAAGTGATCCTCCTGCCAGAACTACAGGTGCACACCACTGCGCCAGCCCAGCCATAGAGTGTTTTTAAATGCACAGAACTTAAAACACACAGAATTAAAAAAGAACTCAATTGGAAAATAGTTGTCAAGTGTTAAAAAAAGAAACTTGTGATATGTATACTTCTTTCCTAGTATATTAAAAGAAAAAAATCAAGTCAAAGACCTAATAATTAACAAAGTTTTGAAGTAGAGATGAGCACAAGGGTACTCTGAGATACCTGTGATCACTGTATTTTAATATGAAAATACCAGTGATTTCCACTGATGACAAAGTCACAGCTATTGCTGATGCTACTTGTTGCCTACGTTCATAATTGAAGAAATGCTAAATTTCAGTTAGAAGTTAATGAAAATAAAGGTGTAATTTTTTTTCTATCCAAGTTTATGAACCCCCTGATTTCTATTCAAGAGTCTCTAGATGAAGAGCCTCCACTCTAAATTTTAGAGTTACCCCAAGTCTTAATGCTGGCAAACCTTCCTTTATCTAAGTACACTCTCCCTGGTTCTGTGGCTTTAAACACCATCTATATATTGATGACAACCAAATTTATACATGCATACCCCATCTTTCTTCTGAACTCTAGACTCTTATAGCCAACTGCCTACTTACTATCTCCACCTGGATGTCACTGCCAACACAATATGTGTAAAATGCAGCTCCTGATGTAGAGCCTCTCCCCAGTACTCTTCCAAACCTGGTCCTCTCCGTCTTAATCTCAGTAAAAGGCACCCTCATAACCCACTTGCTCAAGCTAAAAGTCTAGGAATCATGCTTGATTCCTCCCTTTCTTTCACCCAATCCAGCAGCAAATTCTGATGGACCATTTCTAAACCACCCTCTTCTCACTCCATTTCTACTACCACCACAGTAGTCTAAGCCACCTATTTTATAGCACTCTCCAGGGGCATTAAAAGATCCCTGCCTTGAGTAAACCTCTGAGCACTTGACTTAACTCCACCAGATCCAACAGCAACAGCCAAACCAACCGCAGAATTCCACAGATGTCCTATTTCAACCCAGCAAAAGATGAATTAGTCTAAAATAAAGAACTACAGGCTTTCACCAAATGGCTTTGTAGAGCAGACAAGGAAATGCAGGTCAGCAACAGTGCTTAATCCTAAAACAGTAAAAACCTGGACTCTCCATTCTCAAGAAGAAAACCCAAAATATGCTTCCAGTGCCAACTGGAGCCATCCTAACACAGGCAACTTTCCAGGCAATAAATTCCTATTTCCAGTTGCCTATTGGAGATTTCTACCTAAGAGTCATACACTTCAAATTCATGTATCAGACTGAACTCTTCATCCTTCCCCTGCCTCCTAAAACTTGTTGCTCTTTCCCTTCCTGCATTCTCTTCTCTCAGAGCAGTGAACCCACACCATCTGCCCAGGCAGAAAAGTCATCCTTCCCTCCTCTTATAAATCCAATCGGTTACATTCTGTCTCCTCAACACCTTTGGAATATGTCTTTCTTCTCTTTACTGGTACTGCTCCTGACTTAACCCAGCCCTGACCAACTGACAGATTAATTTACCTGTCCCCAGGTCTTCACGGATGGCTCTTCGCCTGGAAGTCAACCCCACTGCCTGGGCTGAAGACCTTAGGGCTTCTCCCTCTTGACTCGCACCTTGCAAATCTGCTAGCGCGGGCCTAGTCCTCGTGCTACCCGACCCATACCTTGGCTGGGTTGGTCAACACCTCCTTCATGTACTCCGCCACAGTGATGGGGCCAGTAGACTTTATTTTGTACATAAGGTGCCGCAACATCGGTGTCACCGGGTTTTCTGCCGGCTCATTCCCGGAGCTGAAGTATTTCCCTCTCCGAATAGAGGGAATGACTGCGAAAAACACAGATTAAACAGGCCACATTATAAATGCTGGTATGTATACGTGCAACCAATCTGAGCGCTTTCAAAGCAGCTTCGTTAACCCTTAACCTCGCCCCACTCCAAAAGGTGGACAAATGCGCGCAGCACGCCCACGGGGCGCAGAAGCAGCTCGCACTCATTCGGTGTCTAGCCGAGCTCCCATCTGCAGCCCAGAGCACCTTCAAGCTGGAAGTGAGACCTCGAGCCCCAGGAACCCCCAGCTAAGGAAGACGCCCCTGCGGCTTCCACGGAAACCGGGGTTCGGCGGGCCGGAGGCTTACCTGCGCGCGCCGCGGCGCACAGCGGCCCCACGGGGGACCTCACCAGAGCGCTCATGCTGAATTTCGCTGGCGGCCATGCACCGCCCCGCCCCGAGACAGAGGATTGAAGCCACTTCTGGCGGAGGGCACGCCCAAGCAGGAAGTACGTCACGGGCTACGCCACGGGCCAAGCGGAAGTAATCTGTGGAGCGTGCGCGTGTGCTCTGCAAACCATGGCGGCCGCCGAGGAACTTTTAGAGTTCCACGCGAAGCGGCCCTGGCGCCGGGAGGAGGCGGTAGAAGATCCAGACGAGGACGACGAGGATGACACCAGTGAGGCCAAGAATGGGTTCTCCCTGGAGGAAGTGTTACGGCTTGGAGGCACCAAGGTAACGGCCGAGGGCTTCCGGGGAAGGGGGACCGGCGCGGGGAGCCCGAAGTGGTCCCGGTGAGGCCCCGCGAAAGGCCCGCCGCTCCCGCGCTGCGGAGAGGAAGGGCGTCCTGGACCCAGATCCTAGCTTCAGAATGTGTTCGAGGCCGGGCGCGGTGGCTCACGCCTGTAATCCTAGCACTCTGGGAGGCCGAGGCGGGTGGATCGCTCGAGGTCAGGAGTTCGAGACCAGCCTGAGCAAGAGCGAGACCTCGTTTCTACTAAAAATAGAAAGAAATTATCTGGACAAATAAAAATAAATATAAAAAAAAAATTAGCCGGGCATGGTGGCGCATGCCTGTAGTCCCAGCTACTCGGGAGGCTGAGGCAGGAGGATCGCTTGAGCCCGGGAGTTTGAGGTTGCTGTGAGCTAGGCTGACGCCACGGCACTTACTCTAGCCCGGGCAACAAAGTGAGACTCTGTCTCAAAAAAACAAACAAACAAAAAAAACAGAATGTGTTCCATGCGCTTCCCACTGCTCTTTACAAAAGGAAAGTTTCGAATTGAACGTTCTGTGTATGCTGTAGCCTTTCTTAGGGTGTAGGTGGTCCTCTCATTTTATTGTCATGGTATCACCATCACTCCTTCAGGTCGGAGAGAATTGACTTTGCTTGGTCCTGACCTCGTGGCATCAGTGTTTTGAACGCCAGTGGTGCTGGAATTTTAATTTCTGTTTTCACGGGGTACGTGCCATGTACACTGTAGGCTCTAGAGCCCTCTTTTTTGGACCGTGCATCGTAAGTAAGAGAGGGAAACAGGCAAACTTTTAATTACATAATATTGGACATAATATATAGATACTGAGTAGTGCTATGGAGAAAAATAAAACAAGGAAAGAGGATAAGAAGTGGGAGAAGCATTACAGTTTTAGGTGAGGTCATCGCTATGATATTTGAGCAACGACCTGAAGGAGTGAGCCACGTGCCATTCCAGTCAGATGGAACAGCAAGTGCAAAGTCAGAGGCAGAAATGTGCCTAAACTATTCCATGAACAGCAGAAGTGCCAGCGTAGCTGAAGCAGAGTGATGTAAGGTAAAGGGAGAATAGTAAGAAATGAAGTCTGAGAGGTAAGAGGGTGAGCTTTTGCTCTGAGTTTTATTCAAAACCATTTAAAGATTTTAAGCAAATACGTGACATAATTTAGCTTATTTTTTAAAGATACTGTTATGTTTGGAGACCAGACTTTGGGGTGGGGGAGGATGGCAGGAGAAATGCAGCCTATAGAGGCAATTTGCTCTGTGCTTGGGTTATATTTAATTTTTGGATAAGTAATATATACACAAGATGCAGACTTTAAAATGTACATGGTGAAAAGTCTTCTTTCCCACTTTTATCTCCAGCCATGCATTTTTCCTGATAGGAAACAATTAGTTTATACTTCTTAAATTTCCCAGGGATATTCTATATTCTTTGCAAGCAAATACATATTCATTTACATATATGAAATATATGTGTATTGTTTTTTATAAAAATGGTACCATATATATACGTATATGTTTTGCAGTTTTTTTCCTTACTGTCTTAGAGACCCTGCTGTATCAATGCATAAAGTTCTATGTCATTGGTTTTATGGCTACATATATCAATGTGTCTATTTTAGTTTATTTAACCATCCATTTATTGTGGATATTTAAGTTGTTGCCAGTCTTTTGCTATTTTAAATAAAGTTGCAGTAAATTACCTGAAGCACACATTTTGCCCACATTTGTAAGTGTATGTGTAAGCTAGATCTGTGGAAATGAAACTGTTAGGTTAAAGGAGATGTGCCTTGTAGTTTTTGATTGAAGTTGGCAGATTTCCTTCCATATAGGCTGTGCCAGTTTTACATTCACATCAGCCATATATGAAAGTGCCCTTTTCCCCCATCCCCTCCCTGGCACCACTTGTCATTATTTTGTCTTTGCTCATATGATAGATTTACAAATGAATGTATCATTGTGGTTTTAATGTAGATTTCTCTAAATGTCAGTGAGGTTGAACATCTTTTCATACTTTTTAAACTTTTTTCTGTGAGCTGTTCATATCCTTTGCACATTTTTCTAGCAGATTATTTTTCACTTTCTTACCGATGTGTAGGAACTTTTATATTGAGGTATTAAGCCCAATTACTTTGACATGAGTTGTTCGTATTTTTTATCCCAGTTTGTCTTTTGATTTTTTTTATGTTTTGTGTGAGAGAGAATGAGAAATTTACTCATCCTTTCCTTTGCATGCCCTGAGTTTGTGAGATTTAAAAAGGTTTTCCCTGTTCTGAAATTATTTTTTTAATTATGTTGTGTTTTCTACTATTATTTTATGGTTTTATTTTTCTCATTTAAATCTTTGATCCATCAAATATTTATTTTGGGGTAGGGTGGAAGCCTGGGTAATACCATAATAACTCAACTTTGTTGATTTCAAAGATACAAATTTCAAATTAACTTTTGGAGTTTAACTAAACTTGAATTTGTAACATATTTTTAACTTACGTTTTTATGCAGCAAGATTACCTTATGCTGGCTACTTTGGATGAGAGTGAGGAAGTGGTGGATGGAGGCAAAAAAGGAGCAATTGATGACCTTCAGCAAGGTGAATTGGAAGCATTTATTCAAAACCTTGGTTTGGCAAAGCATACAAAAGCATTCTTAATTGAAGATGAGCCAGCTAAAAAAGAAAATTCCAGCAAAAAAGAAGCAAAAGTATCTAATAAAAAGCAAAATGCAACAGAAAGTCAAGGAACATCAATCAATAAGGTGAAAAATAAGAGCAGACCAGAACCACCTTCTGATGAAAACAACAATGCCAAACCAAAAGCAAAGAAAGATAAACAGGATATCTTTGAATTTTTTGAGAGACAGACTTTGTTACTAAAGCCTGGAGGGAAATGGTATGACCTGGAGTATACCAATGAATATTCTTTGGAACCCCAGGCTCAGGGTATTGTGTCTAAGTACAAAACTCTGGCTCAGAAGCTGTATAAGCATGAAATCAACTTATTCAAAAGTAAGACAAATAATCAAAAGGGAGCCTCTTCTACCTGGATGAAGGCAATTGTGTCATCGGGGACACTGGGTGACAGGATGGCAGCCATGATTCTTCTTATTCAGGATGATGCTATTCACACACTCCAGTTTGTAGAAACTCTTGTGAACCTTGTTAAAAAGAAGGGCAGCAAACAGCAATGCCTCATGGCTTTGGATACTTTCAAAGAGTTACTCATTACAGACCTTTTACCAGATAGTAGAAAGCTGCGGATTTTCAGCCAGCGTCCTTTCAACAAACTGGAACAGTTGTCTAGTGGCAACAAGGACTCAAGAGATAGAAGACTGATACTATGGTATTTTGAACACCAGCTGAAACACTTAGTGGCTGAATTCGTGCAGGTCTTAGAAACTTTAAGTCATGATACATTAGTAACCACTAAAACTCGAGCTCTTATAGTGGCTCATGAGCTTCTTTGTAACAAGCCTGAGGAAGAAAAGGCTCTTCTTGTGCAGTTGGTAAATAAACTGGGAGATCCTCAGAACAGAATAGCCACAAAAGCCTCCCATCTGTTAGAGACATTACTTTGTAAACATCCCAATATGAAAGGAGTTGTGTGTGGCGAAGTAGAAAGGCTACTCTTTCGCTCAAATATCAGCCCTAAAGCTCAATATTATGGAATTTGCTTTTTAAATCAAATGGCCCTCTCCCATGAAGAAAGTGAATTGGCTAATAAATTAATAACTCTTTATTTTTGTTTCTTTCGGACTTGTGTCAAGAAAAAAGATATTCAGTCCAAAATGCTTAGTGCCCTTTTAACAGGTGTGAATAGAGCATATCCTTATGCCCAGAGTGGTGATGACAAAGTGAGGGAGCAGGTTGACACGCTGTTTAAAGTGCTGCATATTGTGAATTTTAATACCAGCGTGCAGGCTCTAATGTTGCTTTTCCAAGTAATGAATTCTCAGCAGACGATATCGGATCGGTATTATACAGCATTATACAGGTATGTACATACCATTCCAGTATATGAATGTGAGGAATAAAGAGAGTTTAGACAATTGAATTTTAGGCCCCCGCTAAAAGCAACTTGCTACTCACCAACTTTGAGTGAGTCACTTAATCTTTGTTTCCCTCGTAGGCATAAAGTATATTAGATGCTTTGAATACATTGTTTATTATTTTTTATTTTGAGAAGTTGTTACAGTACAGAAAAAGAACTCCAAAAAAACATTCATATCCTACCACCTAGTATTTCAAAATTAACGTTTTGCCATATTTAAATCTTTTGGGATATTAAAGAAATAGAACTGCAAGTATAATTAAAGTTTCCCTCTCCTCCTTGTCCTCAATCATATATCTTCTCCCTCCTCTCCTTCACACAGCCTTTCAGTAATTCATTCAATGAGTATTTTTTTTTATCTTTATCCATTTGTTTTATTTCATTTACAACGAGTATTTTTGAGTGCCTCCATATGCCACGCATATTCCAGGTGCTCAAGATGTGGCACAGTGAACGAAATCCCACCCCTAGATGCGCTTACACTCACATGGGGAAGGGGGAATGGGGTGTGGAGTTAAACAAGGAAGTATGTTGGATAGGGAGAGTTGTTGGGGGTTGCAATTTTGGATTTTTTTTAACATTGTGATTAAGATTTTGTTTGCTGAATTTTGTGACTGTCTTGCAACTTACCCATTGAGGCGTGAT